TTTTTCTGTGGCACTTAAGAGTGGCAAGATGTCCACAAATTCTATCTTCATTTCTTGATCTAAAGCCGCCTTGTAGATGACTTTCAATGACTTCTGTCTCCTCATATACATATGACTGTCAATGTCAATACCTGATGCCTGATGATCAACTTAGTGTTGTTTTTTTTAATGATGATGCATGACGTCTTAATTTCCTTTTTGTAGAAGCTACTTATTTTTTTTTAACAACAGTACAGTACTTTGTGAATCTCTTTTTGTAGACCTTTGTAAAATTTAAAAATTGTGACGCGATTGATCACAAAGTGTTTCAAATAAGAATATTTCATCTATGTCCATTAAAATGTCCTCCAAGCCGACAGGACCATTGTCTCTATCGAACAAGATTAGTTAAAAATTGTAAAAATGTGCCCAGATGTTTGGTATCGCGACTGAGGTGCAGTATACTTTCTTTCTTTCTGAATAACTAGGCATCATATTTATTTTTGTTCAATTGATATCCCTTAATATGTCTTTTGTCTTCTATGAAGATATTTATATTGGTGTACTCCTTAAAATCATAATAAGAAAATTGGCTTTAATGGACGTGAAATTTCCTGATAGAAACCATTCAAATGGAGGTTTCCAGTTACGTGGAAATTATTTTTAAGTTTAAAATGATTAAATATCTTAATACTGTCATCAAGAATCTGTAGAAATTTCTTCACATTTCAATTGGTCAGTTAATAAGTGGCTCTATGAGGAAATTAAATTCTATCTTGTAGTAATGATTATCTTTTAAGATTCCTGGGGCTTCTTTAGATTGTGTGGTGATGTTTGATTAAGGTTTCTCTAAGGAAGGTGTAAGACAGGGAAACCCAATGCTATCAGTTGATTAAAATTACACTGATTTAGACTTCATTTATGATCTTTGATGGAGCAAAAAATACTACCAAAGTTGAAACATGCACATAACTTAAAACTCAATATTATTACGCAATATTTGTCCAGTTATGTGCTTTATCTCAAAATGTGAGATGAGATGAGATGAGATGACAAAGTGAGATGCAGAATAGCAACAGACATTCTTAGGAGAATGAGGCTACAGACAACCGTAACTATTGTAGCGTATTAAATTCTGTTGCTGGAGATGGACTCTTAATGGCAGGGGATGAGCAAACATCTTTAAAGCTGGTCATGAGCATTGAGCAACCTACCTCCCCCTCCATATAAAAATAAGAACATGAAATGGAGTAGGGTTGGGTAGCTCGCTCGCTCTCAGCACGTGCACTGGCTTTTGGCTTGCGTTTTTTTTTTAATGTATATGTATTTCAGTGCCTTACACCTTGTGGCATGTACTTGATCACTTTAGCAGAAACTTGTCAATCTCATACACGCGTATTTGTGTATATTTATTTTTCTGTATGTTTATCGTTAATTTGTGATGGCTTGTGCATCTTTAGTAGTCATGTACTTGATTACAGCAACATAGTCTGTCCATTTGATACACATGTACTTGTGTATTTGTTAAACTGGTTGTCCATCCAGGAAATGTGTATTTTTTCTATGCATTCAGTATATGCATCCCCCATGGGCTGAATGTTAGACAGGACCATGTCCTTGTGTATTGATATAAGTCTAATAAAGTTTAGAGATAATAGGTTGAGGGATGGTGTAAATGGCAATAATGTCCATTTTGGAAAAAAGCTCTAACCATGATATATTTTATGATTTGTGACAATCCACTGAAGTCATTACTTTTCCTCCCTTGTAATTCTACTTAATATTAATCTATGCTTCAAAGTTGGTGTCGGTGTGTTAAAGTAATTACTGTGGTGGGTTCCAACAGAAAATTTGTGCGAAATAAACTTTCTGGAACACTTTATTGCATGGCACTTCAACATGGTTATTAATGAGTGATGCAGTTTGAATAGATAAAAGTAGTATTTTTCTCCCAAATGTATGCTATAAATTAGGTCAGAACTGATTCCTGTTGAAAAGACATAAGAGAATGTAATTGAAAATGTCTGAACTAGGTCTAAAAGTCTGTACAAAAACCTGTTATTATCACAATTCAATTAGAAAAAATACAAGTCAATTCAATCATCTGGTTAGCTCTATTGAATCAATGTAATTCTTCTATTTTATTCTGTTTATATTGGCATTTACAAATTTCCTCAAATTACTAGTTTGTAAAGCGAGCGAGAGAAAGAGTCGCTCATTGATTTTATAGTCTTATTATAGTTAATAAATAGCCATGTAACTGTTCGCCTTGGAGGCCTTTCGCTACTCACTAATCTAATAATATTGCCAATCTCACAGATATTTAACAAAATTGATTACAAAGTTAGAGGGTGGATAGAAAAACTCTAAACCAATGTTAAACAATAGTCCGATCATTATTCGCTAGTTAGTGGTGATTAAATTATTGTTCACTATATTCATTAAGTCTATTGGGCTGGAAATTGGCAAAAAAGACTTGGAAGTTGTTGAACGAAGCTTATTACTGGTATTATTTCTCATCAGCGATTGCTGAAACCAAATTATCTCGACAAAGCTCAATTATCGAATTGTTGGCCGATTTCGACTTTTCAATTTTCACGTTAAACATTTCTTTGTTGATGCATGGTTAACTCTGTTATATATTATTTATCAAGTTTACTTCATAGCTTTCCATATGTAAAAAATATTGCATGAAATATCCGTGATTTTATATAATATTGCACAATGTTTGACGTCACGGGTTTATTATTATTAATCGTTTAGATGCACGTCTTCTTAATTTTCAGAATGCGCATCAAACTCTGTGGCCAAAAGATAGTAACTTCAGTGCAAGACTGAAGGGACTACATTAAAACTGATTTCAGTTAACAGTTCCTGTGATCGTATAGATACCCAAGATGAACGTTTTTTTAAGTTTTCACCTTGGAACTAGGTTTCAGAATTCTTATTAAATTATGCACTGTAATTTTTTTTAAATCTATGGTTAATACATAGTACTTCAGTGCACATCTCTATAATAAAACTGTTTTCAGTTAACAGTTCCTTGATCCCTTATTTCAATATTGACATTTCAATTTATATCTAAATTAGGCGTCGAAACTAAACATACAAACACACGTGTCATGTATTCAAGCTAATCTGATAAGAATAGCCTGTAAGGTAAAATTCAATATTTTAAGAATGGATAACACCCTAATCTGTTTAATAGTTAAGATAAGTTTAAAACAACCTGATGTCCAATATTTACATTCACCAGTCCTTCATTTCTGTATGAACATCATGCACAACTTATTGATGGAAATAGTGGAAATATATTCTTTAGTATTTATAATACATGCATTAAATAGTAACATTGGTTTCAGAGATCAGAGAGGCTGACATGAAAAAACGTCAAGTCGTTCGGATTGGACAATATAACGAGGCCCTGTGTGTTACTGGCTGTGCACTTAAAAGATACCTCGACAGTTGTGAATCAAAGGAGAAGGCTGATACCGCTCTCCTGGTAAAATTTCTCTTATTGCACACTTCATGATGTTGCCCGTAAGCATTAGCCCAGGTTCAGAAAAAATATGACGTAAAATTAATTCGTTTAATTTCATTTGTACATGTACAGTACTTATTATATAAGCTTTTCCTCTATAGATGGTTGTCAGATCTCTCAACTTTTCTGGTGATATTTTATTTGTAATTTTTTAAGATGGGTAAGATTGCTGTTTGTATTATACAGATCCCAGGATGAAATATTTGGGTAAAAAACCCAAATGTCATTCTGAAAGTAGTATGCGACACTCATCACTAAAACTGATATCTGGTTTATAATATTGTGATACTCACGAGACAGAAAATTACACACTGGAGACTGGTTTTGAATTTGGGTATCTTATATTTATATACGAAACAAGTGTACGATAAAAGTAATCTGTATTTATGTAGTGTAAACTGGGGTACATTGGATTCCCATTTATCATTTTCAACTGCTTACGATGTTTAAAATTTGAAGCAATTTGGTGTCCTGTTCAAACCCAATATACCACATAGCACCCCAAAATTAATGATTCTGTTAAAAAGATATATTGAACGTTATATAGTTTTATTTATAAATAACAAAACAACAATAAAGAAAATAATATGTGCATGTAAAAGAATTCTTGAGAATGGTCTCATAATTCTTACAGACGCTAAATCATTATACAGTACACAAACAAAACAAAATAAATCAAAACAACAAAATGAAAAGCATAAAGCACTTTCATGGAAATTAACAATACTATTATTTCTCTCGTAAATTTTTAGGGTCCATTTTGCTATATTTCACATTTTCTTGCAATTTATCAACCCTAAGATGCAAACTTTGGCAAGTAGAGAATTAACACATAGATAAAATGATGTACTATCATATTAGCATTTTAGGGTTGAGTTAGATTTAACATTCCAGTTGTCCACATGATCTTATTATTGTGCTTTGAAACATTAGTTTTTATTTAATAAATTACGGAGTTACATAGTTTTGAGAAACAACACAACGTTGCAACCTATTTCTCCACTACACAGTATAATTGTACTAATGATTTGTTTTATGATTCCTGTTTTGTAGACTGACTAGAATAGGATGATAGCAGCTCTGAAGATGAACTACCCAAAGAATGTTCTTTAGCTTTTAGTCTTAAAGCATCAATACTGGATTTTCTCATGTCCAAACTTTCACAATTAAGAGGGAATCTCTGTAGCGGTGCACCATGAATAGTAGATAGGTTGGTTCCCACAAACATACCCGGTAACATCAGGCCATTCGATGCCATCATATAATTTGATAGAAGTCCTGCAAATGGCATTTTTCCTGGCATATAAGCTGGGGGTGGTATGGCAGCGCTGTGATGAAGTGCCAGCAGGGGATTGACACCGGTCAGATTTGTGTATCTGTTTGTCCAATAAGGATCCATGGCAGGATTCAGATTCAATGGCGATGGAAGATCTCCTTGCTCCATGTGTAAAAAGTTAGGACTTTCTCTACCCATGGCTTTCTCCCTTTTCCTCCATTTGGCACGTCTGTTTTGAAACCAAACCTGAAAATGTAGAAAATTTCCTTTCAACTCAAAGTCTATGTTACTGAATTCTTATTTTTTAAAATCTTACAATATATTTTATATGTAAACGATCTTCTATACTCGGATTTTTGTATGGCACATACTACGATATCTTATTGTTCATCAAAGAATACCTCATATCTTTGATGTTTAATATGGAGTCTTATGTTAGGTGTGATTAAGTAATTATAAGTAAAATAACAATAGGATAAAAATCTGTTTATCTCGCTTATATTTCGGCCTCCTGGTGTAAATCAATGGGGTTCTGTCTAGCAAGGAAGGTGCTGGCTCTAACTTGTCCTCTTACAATACACATTCAATATTTTAAAGTCTTACTGTGAAATACAATTCAATTTTCAAACGGGCTGATTAGGGTTCTTTTAAAGTAGTGTGAGAAATACGGGAGCTGTTCCAATTCTAATCCGCACCCCCGTCAATACTTTCCTCTTAACGACAATATTTTCAATAAAACTTTTAACTTTTAACTCGATCAAGATTAGGAGCTGAAAATTCGGATACAATTTCGTTGAAATAATTGGAAAATGTGTTATTTTCACACGGTGGCTTTAATTAAATTCAGACTGAACGTGATGTTTTAACCAGTCTTAAAGTCTATTAGGTGATTTTAGACTAATTATTCTTAATTATATTTTTTAAATATTAAACATATTATTAAATAATTTATAATTTTACGTACAGATGAATGTAGACTATGCTCTTGAATATTATAAATATATCTCCAATACGGTTTGAATATAACGAATAATTCATGAACACTTCAAAATCAATAGATGTTTTACTAAGTTTTTAAATAGAAAAAAGATGGAATTTAAAGTTAAACTGTCTATTTATTCCAAATATATTCTATAAATGAAATTTTAAAATTTAAATTATTATGAAAATTGTGGCATAAGAATCTCAGATGTAAAATTCTGCTTTTCTGTAAGTTAGATAGGTCAAACAATAAATTAAGAAACGAAGCCTCGAAAATTAACGGTTTTAAGGAATTAAAAACTTAAAATTACATCTACAACATACGCAACAATAAATCTTATTAATAAGAAAAATGCATGAAATCCAACCAACTCTTATCACAAACTGAGACATAATTTTTTACGCAACTTTCACTTTATTAAACATCCAACAATTATCGGTAAATGTCCAGAATTATATATATAATTAAAAAGATTTCTTTATTTTTCATTTCACTTGGCCTATTACTAAGATTTCTTGTGTACATCAAGTTAATTTAATCATGCATGGCAATATTTACAAGATACATTTTTAAATTCCTCGATGTTGAGAACAAAATTTTGAGAGATTTATATTCATCGACAAACAAATAATAAGTGAAACCGACAGCAATTGTCTGTCTGTCCTGTATGGCGATCTTATTAAGTAAACTATTGGGCTGCAGGAAAATATGGTAAGAAAATAATATTACCTGTACACGAGCCTCACTTAGATCTAATCTTAAAGCCAATTCTTCTCTAGTAAATACATCAGGGTACTGGGTCTTCTCAAAAGCTCTTTCTAATTGATGTAACTGATAAGTAGTAAATGTTGTACGACTTCGACGTATTTTACGGTGTTTTCCACCTCCATCTTCTTCCGAATTAACCGAGACATCACGTCCATTAACATCTTCCTCATCTGCTGAAACTCCTCCATCCATAGCATCCAATCTTCCATCTGATCCAAACGAATGCATCTCTGGGGAACCTTGAAAAATAATTTATTGCTAATGGTAAAACGCACAGTTGCTTGTTGCATTGAATTTAAGGGAACTAGATCGTCTTAAGAATTAAAGGTGAATTAAAGATTAATTTATTTATTTATCCAATCATAAATATGATAAAACAATTTGTTATACTGAAATACATTATTTAATAAATTGATAAGTATTTTTTAATTGCTTAAACCGCTTCAAAATTCAGTAGATAGTAAAAGTTAATTTAGGCAAGTTTATAAATAAACAAAATCAAGAAACGAATAGTCTAAAATATACCACAAAATTGTAATAAATGCATAAACAATTTGACATACCTTCTGATCCAAGATCGGCAGAGAAATTTCTGTCCTCTTCCAAATTTCTTTCAGGAGTTGAAGGAGTCCCTAAGATACTATCAATATTATAGGACTTAATCCTTTTGCTGGAATTGGTACCGTTAAAATATCCATTGGCAGCTTCTGAATTATTCCTAAAATCCCGGTCCATGATGATTTTTATATAGAGTATTTAATGCTCAATAAAATAGATATTCCACGATGTTGATCAATTGATGTTTCAATATTATTCTGTCAGTTCGAGAATGAAATTTGCCTGTTATAGATTCTTGTGAACACCCACTGATTCCAAACCTCCTGTCACTTGAAGTTATTAGTAAATTGTTTGTTGTAATTAGCAATATAGCTTATAATCCATGTAATCTGAAATTTATTTGAATAAAGGAAACGTCACCTAGTTAATATGTTAACTGTAATCTGATTGGTCGATAAGAACTCTACTTCATTATTATCAATAGTTGCGATTTGTAGAAGAAAACACTTAATTTGCTGCGATTGGTTGGGCGGAGTTAATTAGCGTTTAGACTTCCCCCTGTGTTATTGTTCATGATACTGGATGTCCATTGAATGGAATTGACTTAAGCGAAATAGAAACTGGTACAAACTGAATAGTTTAGTGAATAAAAGAAATATAGCGATTAGTTGGCCCTACTTATTAACAAACGACCCCCTGCCAACATTTCTTTTGACTTTATTACTCGCGATCTGTCAAGGCTACAAATCGTTTGAATAATGGTTTCTTGAAACCTCATCGCCTCACTTACACAGTTGAATAGTGATTTGGTTGACAATAGAAATAATAAAGACGTGTAATATACCATGTATTAAACCACGATGAGAGTATAACCATGTAACAAATTGAAGACTTGAACAAACTGTCTCCTCCAGTTGTAACAAATTTGTATTGTTGGTGGCTATTCTTGTTGAAATGAAATTAGAGGAGAAAATAAAGGATTGTATCAGCCTCATTACACTAAGAAATTAATTAGGTTTAGAGGCTATTGGTGGATAATTACTTTTCACTGAAATATTTAACCTCTGATTTCCACCAATCTTAGAAATCATTACATTCTAATTCAGTACAATAACATTTTAACTTTAGAAAACACTAATTACTTGGAATCACCCTTACAACAATCCATATTTTATTAAAGTAAATTTCGCCAGAAGTGGGTAATTTTCTATCAAATGATGCATTCCAATGCTGAAATTCACAGTCCCTACTTGTGACCTAGGCCAGTGCTTCTATAAGAGGTTTCTCTTATAAAACCTTATACCAAGGTTCCATTTCATTTAGTTTTAATTTTTCTTCTTTTACAGCAAGTAATTCTTGCTTCATATATTAAGTTGCAACTGTGAAATAATTCACCGGATATTGAAGAATCTTTCTGCAAAGTTAAATATATAATGAAAAACAGAATAGTAACCACATAGTTCTTGGAGACAAATATTTTATAAGAACAACAGAATAGTTACCACCTAGTTCTTGGACACAAATATTTTTATAAGAACCAGTTTCACACTAGAGTTTTTGACTTTGACCGTGTATAAACTCAACGGATTTCCTTATTCTTAATTATCCAAGTTATTATTTTTTTTATATAAGTCAGTTTTGTAAAGTCCAATGCCACAATAAAAAAACAAACATTTAATATATCTGCAATCATATGATCCAAACATATTTTGGTTGGAGATCAAAATTTTACCATTTTGGCTCTGGGCACCAGGAAACACATCAAACCAGGTTTAGTGGACCAGGAATAAAAGATATAAAATAAAAATGGTATATTCGCTTTTTTAGAATAAACTAATTAGAATAAAAAATGATACTCATAGGAAATGAAGATTAAGACATTTTCACTAACATACAACACCGAATACGTATAGAAAAAAAGCGGTTTTTTTGAAAAAAAGATAAAGATCATCGTTTTACTTCTTGAAATCTTGGTTATGTAAATGCATAAAAAATCCTAGGCAAGTATGTATCAGACAGTCTTGGTTTGGTACACAACAGCATCTGGCCGTGCCTTGCCTTTACCTAATTGTGAACTAACGGATTAGTTAATAAATTTGATCGTTTCTGTCGCCAGTATTTGTAGAAATCACCATTTCTTTCACAAAATCAGGTATTAGTTTCTAATAATGTAAAGTAAAGTAATAATCCACGGATAAGGAAATCTTTAACGCTCAAGGTGTGAATCTCTGATTTGATTTTGATATTTTGATTGTGGTTTAAGCAGTAACTAGACTACTGAACATGAACAGTCTATGAACTAATTTGGGAAAGTAGTTAATTGTGAATAAAACAATCAGGTGTTGAATATTTCTGATAACAGATTAAGATATTAAAGTGATTCATTATGATCAAACCTTTCTGAAATAGAAACATGTATTTTGTGTGTTAGTAAAGTAAATGTGTTTTCTAATCATCTCATGTAATGTAATTATAATGCATTTCATATAGAATTGATATTATCTACGAACCGATTACAAGTTTATCTTCGAATGATTGTCTATCAAAAGCAAAAGTGGTTTACAACATTCCACTCAAAATCAACTGAAGAGGACCGTAAGGAGCAGTGTCGAGATTTGGTGAATATATTCAGTACTCTTTGCACGGGCTGAAGTACTGTATAGCATGGGCTGTGTAACAGTGGATTGTAAAACCCGACTATAGTATGGGCTGTGTAACAGCGGTTTGTATAATCCAACTATAGCATGGGCTGTGTAACAGTGGTTTGTGCAACCCAAATATAGCATGGGCTGTGTAGAAGTGGTTTGTACAACCCAAATTTAGCATGGGCTGTGTAGAAGTGGTTTGTACAACCAAAAATATAACATGAACTGTATAACATTATCCTATAGACCCAAAATATAACATGAACTCGTACACTAAAAATATGTGTTATATTCACCTATAGACCCAAAATATAAAATGAACTGAGTAAAAGTGGTCAGTATAACAAAAATATAACATGCGCTGTACACCATATAACATGGATTGTGCAGTATTGGTCTATACACAAAAAATACAGTTGGTTGTACACCCAAAATAAAACCTGTGTAACTGTGTAAACAAGTATTAGTACGCCCAAAATATAACATGGACTCGTACACCCACAATATAAGATGGCCTCGTACCCCCAAAATATAAGATGTCCCCGTACACCCAAAATATAACAGACAGAGAATCTTAAAGGTATGTTGAACGAAACAGAGAATTTGACGAGTATGTTACACATGACAGAGAATTTTTAAGATATGTTACATTGGACAGAGAATCGTTAAGGTATGTTAGATTTGACAGAGCATCTTAAAGGTATGTGGAAAGTGATCTTTAATAGGAATAAATTCTGCTCTTGGAAATTGGATTCAGACAGAACAACATAAATAGTTATTTTATATTAACACATGAGTGGTTGGATCTGAACATAAACACTTCTGCTGTCATGTGACCTCGAATCGTCTTACCTTCCATAGTGTTGAACTATTATGGACATCGTAAGTATCTTAAAAGATCAGTTTTGGTAAATATTGTGAAAGTTATTTTAATTGACACTGTAATCTAGGAAATTTGACTACTATATTTAACGCCAAGATGCCATCTTAAATGCATCTCATATTACATGACTTTAGAATTAAAACGATTATAGCTTCGAACATCAAGTTTCAAATATTATTGCTAGAAAGTCTTTTGAAGAAAGACTACTACATAATCCTTATTTTATGGTAGGATTTCATTCATAATTAGCACGAAATCTTAGTTTGAATTGGAATATGATATTAATGACATATCGGCCAATTAATGATATAAAGCTCGTAATGATTTGTTATCTAACAGGTTGCATTCAACAAGTGTCATATATTATATAGGTATAACTTAATGATTAGGACTCACGGTTAAAATTACTAGATATTAGGCAGAATGCCACTTGTTTTATTCCTAATTATAGCGGTATTGAAGGACACGAGGTGGGGTCTAACTTAACAAAACCTGTAATAAATATCCATTGAAAACATAGATTAATGATATTACAAAGTTTTATGTCATTTTTCTCTGATTGTTGCCTGATTAAACAGTGTAAATGAAAAGAAAAATTTGTGGGACTGCTACCATCAATTGTCTGTAATCTGATTCTACTTTCCAAAATTTACAAACTAAATACATTTCTTCATTCTGTGAAATGTTTTGTAACTCAATCTATGAAATTATTGAATTCATATTCAATTGTATACTATTGTAGACTTTCGAAAAAAAACGAATAAAAATTATTTGGATTTTAAAGATTACTTTACAGCGAACAAAATATATTTGTATAGAGGACGATTAACATTAACAGAGGACGATTAACAGAGGACGATTAACAGTAGAAGTTAGAGACATGTTTGGTTGAAAATTGTAAACTGAATATTGACTTAAAAATCTGTATATTTTCACCAACCTAAAATCTAATTGAAATATTTCGATTGATCAAAAGAAATGTAAAACTTGCATATGACAAAATACGAGCCCAT